AGCCGTTTCCGAGATATTAGGCCTGGATATGACTTTATATAGACACTCTATATATGTATATATATATATATATATATATATATATATATATATGTATATAATATGTCTCGTATCTTCAATCCGTATCTCTATTTGTAAAAAGACACGTACCCATTGGTCCACTAAAGACGATAGTGGATTAACGTCGAATTGCTGAGCGTCTTTGCGAGTCCTCCTGAAAGACCGTTGAGATCGTTCCCGAAATCCGTCGTTCGGAAGAGCATAGAATAATTCGTCGTTCGCCGATGGTACTTCAGATCCTTGAAAATTCTGGTTGATACTCTCTTGCAAAGTGTTGCGTTGCATAGCCGCGTCGAATCTTTTACCATGACCACCGTAACAGGTATGCCCGACCATGAAGCAAAGACTCGCTGGAAATTGTAATTATTGATATTAATCCAACGAATATATTTGTGTGAACGTGGATGACAAGTTGGAAATTATGACGATGGTCGTTTCGTTAAACGCGATTGCGGATCCACGCGCAGAGCAAGATTTGTGTTTTTGTATAAACATTTTATATACAATATTCTTTGTCGCAACTAACTGCTCCCTGTTTGTACATTCGAAAATGTCATCTCTAATTATATAGATATGTGTAACATGATCTTTCAAAAGTTTTCCGGGTATTTTGTTCATTAAAAATCGCCGCGGAACAAATTTTAGAAGAATACACAGTGCTATTAGGCACATACGAGAATTATTGGGACATAAAAAATTTCTCAAAGTGTTTCGAAGTTTGCAATTCTTGTCCTGCCGAGATTGAAATCATACCTTTGCGGACGAAGCCGTCGTTATTGTTGAGATTTCTCCTGCGGTTTATACTACTCCTTTCTTGCGCTGCGAAAGGAATCAATGTTATGAAAAAAAAGATTTTTGACATTTTCAGAATTTTTTCAGAACCTCACGCAAACAAAGTAATGTTACGGAAAACTTTAATTTTAATAACTTGTAAAATGTAAAATAACTTGTACAATTATCAGATTAAAACGGGGAAGAGAGGAGAAAAAAGCGATACTGGAAATAATGTTATACAAAACAGATTAATAAATAATACAGTTTATTCCGCTAACTCTATGACGTTAAAAATATCTAATTGAATATCTTTTATTAAAGAGATATGAATTTCACGCATAAATACATTTGTGTACTGCTTTCGTATTAAAATATGAAATGAATAGAATATATAACTGTATATACGTTATATGTACATCAGAGAAGAAAGAAGAATTTAGTTTATTTGAGAAGAATTTGGTTATTTTAAGAGATGCTTTTCACAAAATACATTTGCGTAAGTTGCTATTAGTTTTTTGAAACAAGATTACATTTGTGGGTGAAAATAAACAACTGTACCTTCTTCATTTGATTTTAATGTTATATAATAGTCTAACGCAAACAAATTCTAATGCATGCGCATGTTTCGGTGTCTTTAAACGTGATGCATACAATTAGCTTGAAACGTGTCTACGTAAGAATTAAAGAACGCCTAGTAAACTTAAACGTCGATTGTTGCACGCTATACAGGGTGTCCGGTGCTCAATATAGTAAAGAACTCGTGGGCAGGTAGAGTGGGCTAAAGATCGGAAGAGCACACGTC